TGTGAGTTTTTCTTGCCTTGCAATGTCTCAGTGAACATTATGACCTGGCCAACAAGTCCCAAGTGTTTCATTGAGTAATATCAGGAATGACTGTTCCCACATTCATTCTGCAGCATGAATGGAGGTCATAAACAGTCAGAAAGGACTTTCCTCAGTGACAAAACACAGAGTCCTTCAGAAAGTGGTGTCCCCCCACCAGAGACCAGACTTTAGCATTACGGATTTAGTAAGGGAAAACATGGGGAGATGGAAGTAATGGGCTTCATATATCTCAATAAACTCGATACTGTGCAAAGGAGAAATTGGTGATATCCACTTAAAATGCCTTATTTTTAAAATTGAAAATGCAGTGAGGGAAAAAGGTGAAGAAAAATGGGTTTAATGTACCCAAAAAAGACATACCATGGGTTATTTTTGGCTCACCTAGTTAGTCCTAAAAAGAACGAGACTCGGAGATTTGGTATTCTGCAGCCATTCTTTAATGTGCAGCATCTTTGTTCTTGCTTAGTATGAAGAAACCTTTAGGATAAAATATCTAAAAGTTCTGTTTTTTATCTCATATTATCATCAGCACTGCTCCGCTTGTCGAGTTTGGTCGTTTCATTGCATGACAGACTGTGATGATTTGTTTTATAAATCTGCCTAGCGGTGGGAATTCTCACATTATCTTATACAAATAATGTGAGTTTTTTTAAAGCAATATCCTGAAACACTGTTTTATTAATGTGTCAGCTAATGGATCACTGAACATGGCTCTGATCCATTTGGTAGAATTTTCTTATTTTGATTTTTGCCCGCTGACTTAATTCACCCTTCCAGACGTTTGGGTGTCATTTCACATTTATTAGCCCTCAGCCGATCTCTGTCATTTCCACACAAACTGGGATAAAGAACCGAGGCAGGATATTCTCATGAAACCTTTGTGCTTATGTTCAGTTATTTTTTATTTTTTTTATTATCTTGTATTCTTAGACTGTTATGAAGCTTCAGGCATTTTGACATCTGAATTTAAAATTACTGCAGACTTCCTTCACAATCAATATTCAGTGGTCCCTCACTTATCGCGGGGGTTACCTTCCAGACACCCCTGCGAAAGATGAAAATCTGCAAAGTAGGGACGTTGTATTTATTTTTGTGTTTGCCAGTATATTTATTTTAAGGCTTTATAAATCCTTCCCACACTCGTGCAATGTTCTTAACAATGTTCTAAACTCCCTTAATGCTCTAAAAGAGCACAGCGAAATAGAGCAGACAGTCTGATGCTACAGTTACTGAGCCAATCCCAGGGTCAGACTGGCCATCGGGAGCACCGGGACATTTCCCGGTGACCTGGCCCGCTCAGTGATCGCCGAAGGGGACTAAAGGCTTGGTTCAGGTTGCCATAACTTATTTAAAATAAACAATCCTTGCCACTCATGTGGCTCACTCAGGTATAAGACAGACCCCCTCACCCCATCCTTTCTGTTTTTGAGTCTGTCTGTCACAGCAGAGACACACTCTGCTCTTCTGTGACAGACAACCTCAGAAAGAGAAAGGAGGGAGGTGGTGGTGGTGGTGGGGGGGGGGGGGCTTTTTTATACCTGGGTGGAACCATGCTCAGCCATCCTTTTTTTTTTTAGCTGAGTCACTCTTATTTTTCCACCTAAGCATTGTTTCTGATGTTCTACATTTGTTCATCTGATCTGTTCATCCCTGCTCCCTGAGCAGTAGCAATGGGGAAAGACAGATTCTCTGCTGTTACAGACAGACTCAGAAAGAGAAAGGAAGGGTGGGGGTGGGGTATTTTTCCCCCATAGCCAATCATGTGTCGTGTACAATCTTATGTTGAAAACCCACAAAAGAGTGAGTCAGCGAAAGTCCAAGATAAAATAAGGTAGAACTTTATTGATCCCACAGGAAATTGTTGTGCCAGAGTTTCAATACAAAGGAACATACACAAGGAATCACACAAGATGTAAAAAAAAAAACAGAATTAAAAAAACACAAAGTATCGAGGGACTACTGTAAACCCTGAAGAATATTATTTAGTTTGATTCCTTTTTGTAATCTTTCATTATTGCTTTTTGATCTGAACTACACTGATATTCACCTGCTTTTACCCTTACTTGTTTTATTTTATTTTTGTTGTTGTTGTTGATTTCTGTATTTTAAAACAAGCTTCTCATTCTTACTACTTGAAGTACTTTTTTATGGAAGAAAGTAGACACCTTTAAACAATGACAACAAAACAGATCATAACCTGAGAAAGAGCCAGGGAACTCTGACCGTGCTGGACTTTCCCTCCCAAAAACCACCAAAACTGAAGAACTGTCATGCAATAAGCTCTGGGAAAACTGTGAAAAAGTTTGTCACATCTTTGGCAACAACAGATCACTGTGTCGTCAGCATATGTGCAAGTGTTTATGCATCATTTCTCCTGGAAAGTGTCATGCTGGCTGGTGGGTGGAGGCTGGTTCTGGGTGGGTTGCGGTTAAGCCCTTGAGGTCTCCAGGGTTATGCTGCCTCTGCTCTTCGTCAGCTTCTCCTCTCACTCTTGGCTCTCAGAAATGGTGACAGAGGGGTAGACTGGCTAAGATGTGCCAGAGTGGCTATTAGCCGCTTGTCTCTCGGCTCCTCCGAGAGCATGAAGGCCTCATTAGCTCGGTGAGCTCAGCTGTCCTCTGGTACTAAAGTCATCGCCACAGTTCAGCTGTGTGTGCAGATGAGCATGACCATACACCGCACGCTCTTAAGGAACTGTCTATCCCACAATATTAGTCGAGATTTTTTTAAGGAACAAAAACCAGTATATTTCAGACTGTCAAGATATAGTTTTAATAAATTAATATCTGATTTTACCTCAGAATAAGGAGAAATTGCCTATTTTAATATTAAAATAATATTTATCATCATTGTGATAAAATTGAAGATATCGTCCTTACACTAATTTAAAAATGAGTAAGTAAAATATTTTATTAAATTCACAAGTTGGACATTTGCTATTGTTTTTTAGGTCTGCTCAATTGAACCTGTTTAAAGTATCTATAAATTTGACTAGTAAATTGTTTGTAGTAACTCTGGAGTTCTACCTTTTCATAGAATACGTGTAATTGGAAAGAGAAAGCTGGTAAGTTAATTAACATCTTTATATGGTATTACTTCAACAAGAGAAAATCATCAAAGTTCCCATTTTACCCCCCTGCATGAATTGTCATGAGCGTTCTGCTTTATAGTTTAAAAAATAATCTGTATTTAAAACCAAATGGATATTTTGTTCAGTTATCTCTAAGATTAATGAAATTCAACTAGGATAAAAGAAAATAAAGCATGACCTATCACAAATTGTACTTGTACCTAAGCTGTTTACCTGGTGATTAACAAATACATTTTACTGTAGAATTTTATAAAGTAACAATAGCATCCTATAATCAGTAATATTAAAAAATAAAATAAAAAAACACTAATTTTGTAAGGACAAGCTAGGTGTTTGCCATATTTAGTCATTTTCTTGTTTATAGTGTGTTAGTTGATGATTATTTTATAACATAATTTGTTGTTAACATTATTAGATGTGAATAAAATGTAAAATGTGAACATAGAAGCGTCTCTTTTAAAGCCTTATTCAATGAGAAATTTAATTAATTAGACTATTAGAGTTGAACACACACAGTTTCCTGACACTTGAACATTTCCTAATAACAAGGAAGTCCAGTAAACAACCAAATGATTAAAATTAATATTAAAACTGACTTTATTTATTGGAGGCAATGTGTTCAACATAATGGTACTTCCTACAGTTATTTAACAGTCAACAATGGTGTACCACACGGCTCAGTCTTAGGTCCCACTCTCTTTACAATCTACATAGGTAATGTAGGTCCCTGATGCATCCTTACATTTTTATGCTGGTGATACAGTTGTTTATTGTTGAGCTAAAACAGTTGCTAAGGTTTTCCAGCTTTTGCAATCTGCTTTCAACATTATCCAGGCAGGTTTGTTCTGGCTCAAATTTGGCCTAAACACAGACAAAACTAAAGGGATGCTTTTTTCAAACAGGAAGCTGGTCCCAGCAGTTTTTGCTTTGATTTTATCCTCGATTGGTGCCCCTATTGAATTTGTTGATTCCTACAAATATTTGGGTATCATGGTTGATTCGCATCTCTCTTTTAAGCTCCATGTGGAAACTGAAAGTTAAACAGGGTTTCTTTTTCAGAAACAGATCCTGTCTAACTCTGAATGCTAGGAAATGCCTTGTAACTGCAACTTTCCTTCCCTCCATTGACTACGGTGACATTATTTACATGAATGCTTCTACAAGAACCCTGCAGATGTTGGATGCTGTCTATCATGGTGCGCTAAAATTCATAACTGGCTGTAACTACCGTACCCACCATTACACCCTGTATTCACTGGTTAACTGGACATCATTAACTTCACGCAGACTCTCTCAATGGTACATTTTCATCTTTAAATAACTTCTTGGTCTGCTGCCTTCATACATCTCCTCCTTCATGTCTCTGCGTGAGTGCAGCTACAGCGTGCGCTCTCAGGACATTATTACCTGCAGTGTTCCCTCAGTGCGGACTGAACTAGGCAAAAGGGCCTTCTCCTACTCCGCTCCTGTTTCCTGGAATATCTTGCAAAAAGATTTGAAGATCTCGAACTTGACCTCTCTAAGTTGCTTAAACATCTGTTAAGTTCCTGGCAAAAAACAATGCAGAAATGTTCCTGATTTTACTTTTTTACACCACCTTATAATCTAGCTGTTTTTTTTACATTTTCTTTTAAATACCATTTTATTTTCACAAAAAATTCTCAATTTGTACGCATCCTTTATGATAGTCTATTATTGTCTTTGTTATCCACTATTGTCATCACTCTTTGTTAAAATCAGGTGTCTCTTGTAAATGAGTCCCCGGGGCTCAATGGGATTAACCTGTATAAATAAAGGTTGAATGAATGTTGGTCAGATGTTTAGGTGAAATTAAACAAGTTAATGTGACAGTGTTTGTGTTTTCCAGGTGAACGAGGAGACTGTGGAGCGGCTGGTGGTCCAGTACCCCCATATTGTGTTCAGCACCGTGATGCAGGACTGCAAGAGAACCCTGGAGAGAGCTTATCAAATGGGTTGGAGCCCCAACACATCGAACTCTTCGTAGCTGCTGTTGGGTCGCACTCATTAGTAGTTTTACAGACACACATGCCGTGTGTGCGGCTCGGTCATTGCTGATTCTCATTTACTGTTCAAACATGCATGTAAACCCATCACTACACAGAAACAAAAGTCCAGGTCCGGTTTTGGGTCAATCTAGATTAGTTTGGCGTTTTCTAATTAAACCTGATAGGTCAGCTTTGAGCAGAGTGTTGAGTTTTCAACATATGTAAAGTTTCAACATATATCATTTGTGCTGTAAGTCAAAATTAAAACCATATAGCCTGATTTCTATCAAGTTTTCTCCATCGTTGTGGTTGTGAATTCAGCATATGAAAGAGGAGAGGATTGGCTGGTTTTAAATATAAATCTATAAACAAAAGGTGCAATTCAACATGCTGTTTGACCAGACTTTACTTTTTAATAGAATAGAAAATGTTTCTTTATCCAAATGAATCTTTGTGTCACCAGCGAGTTGTTTTTTTTCTGATCTGCTCCGCTCAACTGCTGCATAAAGACTGCACAAGAAAATAATCAGAGACATGGAGAGAATATTGAAGCCACCGGACTGCTGCAGTTCACAGGTCAGCTTGTAGTTTAAGGGCTTCACACCTCACTTCACACATTTTAAGGCTTGTTTTATTTTGTTTTTTAGTTCACTATTTCCCCTCTTGTCTATCGAGTACAGTGTTAAAGGTATTTGTGGACCTGCAGACTGGATGTTGGCAAGTTTTTTTTTTTTTTTGTGAAGGCCACGCACAGGTCTCTACTCCGAAGTGGTCAAGTTTATAACACAGAAAATTGTGTATTACTTTAAACTCAATGTTTTCACTGGAAATTCAGATTTTCAGCTGTTTTTTGAGCTTTTGTAACGTGAAACTTCATGTGACTACATCACCATGCATAAATCTGTTGTTGACATATTTTCATCGTTACCTTGTTTTGGATCAGTGCTTGAAATAGAAGCTGTTTTACCCCTAATTCCATCGTCATATTAGATTATTAACTACAAAATTTACGGGAAGGATATAGATAATACATTAAAAGGTTATTAGTTAAAATTTGATTAGAAACGTTCTTGACTAAAGAAGTTTATCATAAGTGAGTATATGAAAGTATTTAGCCTTGTACTGGTTTGGAGCATAAACATGTAACATTATTAGCTGTGTTGTATTGAAATGAACAGTTTAGTTTTTTAAGCCATTTTTATAGTGACCACGGTTCTGTAGCCTCACACGTGGCTCGGTTTATCCTAAAGTTCGGATCAGTTGTGCTGAAAATAGTCATTAATGCACATTTAATTCAGAGAAGCAAATTGGAAGTCTGATTTTCTTTCTTTTTATATATATATATATTCTTAGAATATAAGTTCTGTTCATATTCAGACGCTGTTGTTTTCGGTATGCACAGTTCGGTGACAAACGTTTTGGGAGCTATTGTCTGGCTTCAGAAGGACAAGGTGGATACTTTTTTTGACCAGTGTAGATTCTAAAAGTTTTGCTACCAAGATGCTACACAGAAAGATGCAGAGACTTGTATTTGGCTTCAGTGGTGCAAGATGTATATTAAGTTGAAGTTTGTGGGTGAAAGTTCATCATCGTTCAGTTCTGGAGAACTCGAGCGGAGTGCAGTTTAAAATGCAAACAACCAGGGGGTGGTTTCTGTGACGTGAACCAGCTCTGGACTCATCCTCCACTGAGTAGAAGTAAAAACTTTGATAGCATACAGGAATTTCAGACAATTAAAACACTCATTTGACCCCTGTCAGGATTTATAGATGTTTCCTGGAGGAAGGTTTCTCCTTCACCCTGGTTTTTTTTTTTTTTATCTTTCTGTCTTTTTGTAATCCCTGTAGGCACTTTCTTCTCTGCTAGATGTTGACACATTTGATTCCTGATTTGCTAAGGCAACCGCAAATGACTGAATTTACATAATGATGAATAAAAACACTACAACTTCAAGCTTTATTTCCTTTTTCTTTTTGTATTTGTGCAGCTAAGGCAAAAGAAGAACATTTTGTTTGACAGTAGAATACTTCTCTGCTTTTCCTGTATCATCTGTGAACCTATTTTTTCCCCCAACAGCATTTAAAGAGGTTTAGATACACTAATTTCTTTTTAACTTGTGGAACGGAACACACAGAGGGACGTAATTTGATCTTAGATTGCGCCTGTATTTCGAGATAAAATGCACATAAGAATGTCAGCATGATTTTCATCAGTCAAATGTTTGGGCCGTTTGCCTTTTTCCTTCAAAATAAAGATGTTTTCCACAGATCCCACTGCATTTATAATGCTTTTCTACTGAGCGCAGTGACACAAAGCCAACCTGAAGTCCATTATGAGACGCCTTCAAAGTCAGAACTATTTACGATCGCAGGAGTTTCACATCTGAGAGACAAAGTGAGGGGATATCAGCTCGATGCCCAGCAAGGCAGCAAAGGCCTCAAAGAGCTAACAAGCTGTCACTCAGTATGTCCCTTAGTGTTTGGCAGCATTGTCCCTTTCAAGTGCCTGTTTCATTGTTCAATGTGTTTCTGTTGTTTCATGCCTGACGATCAAACGTGGGCTTTTAAAACATGATCCAAGAGTTGTTTTCTACCAGATTGTTTCATAGTTGTCGACACGGTTTTTGTCGAGTTGAAGCTGAACTCGTTAAAAAAAAAAGAGAAGGCACACACGTCTTTATAATCTATAATTAAAACTTGCTGTATGTTTGTAAGACCTGCGGTGCTGATTTTTTTTTTACCCAAATTCTTCTGTTTAATTCAATAAATGTTGCAGATAAAATGAAAACATTTTCAATTCAGTTTATTTATATAGTGCCAAGTCATACCAGAAGTCATCGCATGGCACTGAACAGAAACATTTATATACGTATATATAAAAAGTAAGTTAACATTATTTATCTGAGGAGCAGACTGCTTTGAGTTTAACTTGGTCACACGCTCTCATCCTGAGCAAGCATGAAGGCGACAGTGGAAAGGAAAAACTCCCTCATGAGGAAGAAACCTCCAGCAGACCAGGCTCAGGACAAGCGGCCATCTGCTTCGACCGGCTGGGTTTGAGAGGAACAGATACACAATGGCAGGTCGAGAATCACATGTTAAGATATAAATAATATCAAATGAAAACTATTCACATGTATCAACAAAAAAGGTTGAATCATGTCATCTGGACTTCGTTTTTTTGTATTCAACCTTTTTTGTTGTTATATACCTGGATGACTGAGAAAACAAACTTTGTATTCACATGTATGCGTTTGTAACTATTCATTTTTTAAAATGAGGTAAATTTGGCCTCCAGTAGTCTAAGTCTATAGCAGCATAACAAGCCAACCCTAACTATAGGATTTACCAAAAAGGAAAGTCTTCAGTCCAGTCTTAAAACTGGACAATGTGTCAGCCTCACAGACAGACTGGAAGTTGGTTCCACAAGAGAGGAGCCTGATAACTGAAAGATCTTCCTCTCATTCTGCTTTTGGAAACTCTAGGAACCACAAGTAAACCTGTAGTCTGACAGTGAAGTGCTCTGTTAGGAAAATATGGGACGATAAGATCTGTAATATAAGATGGAGCTAGGTTGTTGAGAGCTTTGTAGGTTAGAAGTAAGATTTTGAATTCAAATCTGAATTAGACAGGGAGCCAATTAGAGAGAAACTAAAACTTTAGAGATATGATCTCTCCTACTAACTCCAGTTAAGACTCTGGCAGCAGCATTTTGGATCAACTGAATACTTTTTAAAGTTTTTGGACACCCAGACAATAAACCATTGCAATAGTCCAGCCTAGACGTAAAATCATGAAGCAGTTTCTGCATCATTTTTAGACAAGATGTTTCTAATTTTAGCGATATTGCGTAGGTGGAAAAACGGTTCTGCTAACGTTTTTAATGTGGGGGATAAAAGACGACATTTATTATTTTCTGTCTTAACATCAAAAATTAACAGGCTCAATTGTTTCAGTCAAATTTAAAACTCAATAAAGTTGTTCGTTTTAAGATAGTCCAGTTCTTTTTGCACATTCCCTTAATCTTATTTGAGAAAAAAATCTTACAACTTGTGTATATTTGTTGATTTATTGATCTGTTGTCAGCTTATAGAAATTTACCAGATGTTTGCCATATTATTCCCCAACATCTTTTACTGTTCAAGAAAACTCTGTTGTGCCAAAGGGAGGGAGAAAAAACACATTACAGATGCTTGAAATGTAGCAGACTGTGATAAGTTCAAATGTTCCAGATTTTCCCAGAACAAAGTTGTCAAAAAAAATACATTAGAATGGAAAAAAGTTATATTTGATGGGTGAAAAAAAATCCATGTTTTGGGCATTTTATCTTCATAAATAGATTATAATCGAGAAACTGGTGTGGGAAAAGGAAATGGTTTATTAGTATAATAACATTCTCTGACCAAAGCTAAACTGTATTATGTGAATCCTGCTGCAGTTAATTTGTCATCTGCTCATGTGATCTTAGATCTGCAGTGATGTTTGGACCCAGTCGGGCTTTTTTTCAGAAACTCACTGCACTGGTCTCTAAACTTTGCACACGTTCATTAGCTTTGTAACTTTTGTGCTGGTAGATGTTGTTCTATTCTTTTCATGTCACTTGATATTATGTAGGCAAAGCATGTGCAAAAGAGAACCAAATTAAATTTTTCCATTGATTAGAACACTATCCTCAGGTAAAGCACCTTTTCTCCAACATAAATAACATTAGTTGTTAAATGAAGAGACATTACCCCAAAGAAATTGTCCAATTTTTTTCTGCACTTGTTACAAACCTTCTGATTGTTCGACGGACAAAGTATTTCAATATCTTTGCTACATATGAGCTAACCCCCCCTCACTCCACTTTCATTTCTCTCCTGAGTAAATTATGCAACTTGCTGAATTTTACTACCACCAATTAGCGCCTTTGCAAATGTGAAGGTACGCCAGCAATTCTCTTGCTGATTGAGGTGGATTCAAGTTGCTCACAGTCCTCGGACTTCTGCAATATTCATCAA